CACTCTGCCAGTAGAAGGCGAGGCTTCAATCATGTACGTCACTGAGTGTCACCACATTGCGTGTTCCTCTGTGCCCTCAATCACAAAGACTCTTGACATTTGACATAATGTCACATAATAGTCAAGCCTTTGGGGATCACATCAACAGCATCAGTAGATCCAGCCCTACCCCGGTGACAGGCTGCAGACTCAACGCTGCGTCAAAGGTTATTTTGCTGGAAAACACATCATCCAGCTTGACTTTACTCAGACCAGCTTGTTTACTTGTGATGCCCTTAATAGCTGCAAAGCAGAGAGCTGGACCAGGGCTTGTGTATGTCTTGAGAAGGTGAAAGAATAATGGACTGGATTACCTATTGTTTTTAACTGCATCTACTCCTATCACACTTTGACAAAGGGCTCAGGTAATGCAGAGCAGATTGGAGTTTACGCTGTACAAACATTTCCCAGAGCTGCTCCGGAGGCAGGAATAGAAAAACACCGGCTGATATAAACCTCTGCAGCTTTTTCAGGACAGAGGCACAGGTTAGCAATATAGCAAACACAAACTGCAAATGGAGTCAATATTTATAGCAAGTAAAAGCTGCATTAATCAATATTTTCAATGTTAGGGTCTAATGATTGTGTGTGGAGAGCCTACAGACTGTAAAGCCCTTTGAGGCAATTTTCTAATTTGGATATATTGAAGCATTTCAGAGCTGCAGAGCTAGATTAACTCAAAAGACACTTTGCTAAAATATCCTGGTTACCAAACTGTGACTTCTTTTACAATCGGAGCAAGAGTCTGCACAGTAGAAAACAGAAGACTAAGTATCATTGATACACAACAGATCACGAGGTAGTCTAACCTGTCAATCATGATGTTTCACCACATTTTTATAGCATCAAATAACTGATTCAATCCAAACTTACCAGAAAAATCCACACTTGAACATCAGTGTGATAAAAATGTCAGAGATCACCTTTTATTATTACAACCATTATTTAATTTCACCTGCACTGTTGAACTATGTAATGTGTTAACCTTCAGTTGTCATAAAAACTCAAAAGGTGTTCAGTTTGGACGACTGTAAAAAACAAGGCGGCCTCAGTAGAGAGGAGCTGCTCCTGATGTGAATTTAAAGTATTTAAATAAAAAAGGCCTGTTCTATGTAGAGAAAACAACATTTGGTACAATTCAGATGATAACACACTGAAAACATTACTAGCATTATTTATATTCAATCTCTGCCAATAGATAAGTACAGCTACCACTTTTATCCTCTGCGTTTTATTCTCAATTTTACATTCTGCTTCCTGCCCTTTGAGACTCAATTCAGTCCCCAGAGCAGTTCAGCCATTGGAAAAACCCCTCATACATCACCTGACAAAGCTTTTGTTATGGTAAATTGTCATTTAATTTAGACAAGCATTCCTTAGCGGTGAGAATTAACGACATGCTGTGGTAATTAGTTGGAAAGCTGTTGTTCAGCGGCTGATGCTTTATGGTGCAGGGCGGTCGGATCATAGTGTATCTGCAGCAGGATTGGTTGTGTGACAGCGATGCACCCTTAGTCGGGCCAGGCACACACACTTCTTATGAATAAAATGTCAATAATAATGTGGAAACACACTATGACATGAGAGCAAAATGTGACAGCAGGATTTAAAGGAGACGTACATGTGATTTTTATTGTGCCAGTGAAATGGACGGAATTTATGGCTTCGATTTGTTGATCGATTCCAATCCCTTCTAACGCTTAACCTGCTTCATCCAGACAGTTTTTTTTAAAGTAACCCATTTTATTACAATTCTGGTCATAAGTATAGATAATCCAAGATTTGCATTTCCCTTTCTTGGATCCTTTTTTCAAGGTTCTGTGTATATGGATAAATAAACCTTTATTCCTCTGTGCAAGTTACGAATAATAACCAAAGCAACGTCAATGAAACTGATCTCAATGAAACTGATCTCATTTAAACTGACGTTTTCCTTGATGCTTGATTTCCAAATTGCTGATTGTGTATGAACAGATGGAAGAACTTGCAATTAAGGCTGATAAAGCATGACCATTTATTATTGGAATCCACACTTTAAACCATTTGATATCATCACATCAGTGTCTTAAAAGTGATTTATCATTGAGTAAGCCCATTACTTGGTTTTCACCCAAATCACTGAGCATGAGATTGATTAAGCCTCGGAAAGCAATTTTGTTTGAGGACAATGTAATACTCAATAACTATCAGAGTGCTAAAAAGTTTCGATTCTTTCTCTCATCAGCCCCGTATATTAGCATTCAGGCTGCTACCTAATCCAAACAATCAAATGTGCTTTCGTCCTGTGAAATTATGAGCTTGTTTTGCTGCAATTAGTTTGGTGAGAACCAACTCTATTAGCGTGGATCAGACAGATCTCTTGATCCGTGTTGCGTGCATAATTAACCATCATTGATTATCTTCTCGGCTCAAGTGGAGAACACAGGTAAGCCGGGAAGTTCCTCCGCTTATCTGTTTCATAGACCCTTAAATGGATCTGCAAGAGCAGTGGCCTCTGTTTGATCCAATTCTCTTCAGATGAACTCTATCTGAGGAGTCGGCTGTGGTTAGATATGACCTTGATCTGTCAGGATGATAATGACACAGGAGAGAGGAGAGGCTATATCATCAGCAACACTGATGGGTTTGTCTTTCGAGACAGCCATTGTGTCAGATTAGGCAATCACTGGGCCATAACTTCTTGCTATATGGTCTGGCCAAGAGACACACAGCAGAGGACAAGAACTTGGCCCTGACCAGGAGGCCATCATACAGGCTGTGTCTGAAATCCGTCACTAGCCCTTATTCACTATATAGGGACTTCTATGTAGAGGAATATATAGTGAGCTCATCTGCAAAAGACAAACACACTGTCTGACCCTACTCTGGATACTTTATCTGTGTCGGTACCTGCATCGTTGCCAGTGGAAAATCTTGTTATAGGTTAATTTTACACATTTTATTAATACTTTTCGTTGAGTGATCATGTTTGAATGTAGAAATAAACATATTTGCAGTTTGGGCTGTGATGCGCTGCTCTGCTACTTTTACATATATTACTGTCTCAACTCACAGATTGTCATAAAAAACAACTATCCCATTGGAAATATTAGGGATGTTCACTAAAACAGACTGTTTTAAAATCGGTCTGTGAAAATGCTGGCAAATATAAACTGTAATAATCTGTCTTTACCCTCACGAGAACTTTTTGATAAGAATAAGTAGAATCGTCAGAGAAAGAAGGCGAAGATGTGCTGCCCTCTCTCGTCTCTCCACCATTTTACTTCCTGTCAACTCCACAAGCACGATGCATGATGGTATATATTGCTCAGTTAGGGACCATCGGTTGTTCACTGCTTTTCACGATGCACTGTGGGATACAATGAGGGTTTTAAAAAATTCAGACAGCATTAAAAATTGGCAAATTTACAATATAGTGGACTAGGTAGTGATTAGTGAGAGATTTCGGACACAGACATTGACAGTTTAGATGATCTGAAAGGAAGTGAGTGACATCACCGTTCCACCTCACAGCAACAACAAAATCATTTCTCTTTTGCTTCGGCATCTTCACAGTTGTGCACAGAAGAGAACTCTCTGCTCCTGTGTGTCATTGCCACGAAACATGTGCAAGTTGTCAAGTGAGACAAGCGATAGCAAAACAATTCCAATACGCTCGTCTTTTTGTCGAGCTGTTGGGTGCCTTCCCACACTGTGACTCACAACACAGGATATATTGAATCAACTTTTGTGCCCAATTCCCATTTCATCCTCAATGCCCTTCATCCATTGCATCTGAGTATTATTGGGCTTAAATTAGTCTGATCCTGGGATTATACATTTTCTCAAATTCCTGTGGAAACAATCCCAGTTTTAAATTTTGACCCTATGCACTGCTTTTGGTGTCCTTATGAGACTCTGTAATTCAATTCAATTTTTAATTTGGGCCAAATTATCTCAAGGCACTTTATAGAGTGAGGTCAAGACCTTACAAAATTGTACAGAAACCCAACAGTTCCCACAACGAGCAAGCGATAGCAACTGTGCAGAGAAAAAAAAACTCTCTTTAATTGCTTGTTCTGTCCAAAAGTCAACTCAAAACCCAATGCAGCACATAAGGTGCTAATAACTGTTCAGTTTCGCTTCACACATTATCGCTTCAAGAGAATCCACACGTCAGTGAGAAGTCCACTTGCCTATGTACACATGTACAACTCCTGGAGACATTTAGGATGCTGAAGCCTGGAATCTATTTTCTTTCCAAAACAAATTAAATGGTCAGTTAAAATATTGAAATTTAGTTTTTTTTCTATCAATTGATTAATTCAGTGAATGGATTTATGTACATACTCTTCCACTGGCAAGCATTTCAAGTCTCTTGCCATTTCATTTTCTTAAAAGTACCCTCTCAAACTGTGACCTGATATAAGTCACTCAGAGTAACCCAAATCTTTTTCTTACCATTGTATCCTGTCTTTTAAAAAAGACATATAGTTTGTGTTGAGTCGTTTGTTGTCATTAGTTTGGGATAATGGTGGTGAGAGTAAAAAGGTTTTCTATACCTCTGTTTCTGAAATAACATCTTCATCTTGGACCACCACCATGGGGGGGCCCTTAGAACTCCATCAGACACCCCTTGATGTTATCTATGTCCCACAGTCCTTACGTCAACTGCTCCACATTTTAATTTAACATTTTGTTGATGACAAACCCATGGGAGGCACAAGCTCTCTCCGTCTCTGTTTGTGTTTCTATGCCTCTCGATCAGCTGGGTTTATTCTTGGTGGACACTGATGCGCACGACATAACAAAGCCTCTCTCTCTCTCTCTCTCTCTTTCTCCCTCCCCAGGTTCTCTCCCCCTATCCACTCTCCCCTCCTCCGCTCTGCACCTGCTCCTCCCCTCCTCCCTTATTATCCTCGGAGTCAGAGCAGCGCTCCGTCCTCCTCGCCAAGTGATGCTCCTCGGCGGGGCGGCGCACATCGGCGGGTTCTCACCGCTCGCTGCACGGAGGGCAGCCCCGGCTGGATAAGTCTCCTCGGGAAACACTCGCGAGCTAAATGACGAGGGAACATGGGGATTTTAGTGAGGTTGCGTGAGAGTGAGCCGGAGGACGAGTGAGCTCAAGTCCCATCCGAGAGAAGAGGAGGAGGAGGAGGAGGACTACGGGGAAACGGTCCCGTTGGGACGGGGACGCAGCGGAAGGTTTTGTGCCTCACAGAGTTTGAAATGGTGTCCGGGTGCTGCTCCGTGTTGTTTGGTTGTGCAGAATAACATCGGCGGGTTTTCAGGACGCGGTTGATGGAGTTGGTCGCTCGGTTCTGATCTGTTTGTGATGGAGTGAGTGAGAGAGAGGGCGCACGGGAACTTCAGCCTCGCCATGAAATCAGTGCTCTTCAGCCGCTTCTTCATCCTGCTGCCCTGGGTGCTCATCGTCATCATCATGATCGATATCGACAGTAAAAGGACGATCCGGGCTCCTGCGGCCGGTCGGACCGGCAGGGCGCCGCGGGCGGCCCGGACCGGCGCGCCGGGGGTTGGCGTCACCCAGAACCAGACTGCGCTGCCGGTCATCTACGCCATCACTCCGACTTACACCCGTCCGGTGCAGAAAGCGGAGCTGACCCGGCTGGCGCACGCCTTCCGCCAGGTGCCCCGGTTCCACTGGATCGTGGTGGAGGACTCCACGGCGCGCACGGAGCTGGTGGCGCGCTTCCTGGCTCGGTGCGGGGTGCAGTTCACGCACCTGCATGTGTTCACTCCCCGCAGGTTCAAGCGCGCCGGGATGCCACGCGCCACCGAACAGAGGAATGTGGCTCTCGCGTGGCTCCGGCAGCACCGGAGCCGGCGGGACTCCGGGGTGGTGTTCTTCGCGGATGACGACAACACGTACAGCCTGGAGCTGTTTGAAGAGGTAACCGGACATGTGTTATTACTGCGCAGGGAGACAAGGTGTCATCCAGCCTTAACTGTGGTGCACAACATGTCTCATTGTAATTCTAATACTTTTCACATCTTTAGGGATGTTTATGAATTCCATGACATTGTTTTAGGCTGTTCTGCAAACCATGGGATGGGAACACACAGCTGTGGGATTTAGAATGAGGTCAGGAGCTTTTGTAGGCTACTTAATCTTGACTTTTGTTGTTGTGGAAGAACTGATAATCTTTATTCAAGTTCAAGTTATAAAGTTACATGAAAAGTACTTTTATTAAGTTATGTGTTTAGCCCAGTAGACTACTTTTGTGAATTAACTCAAATTGTTCAATTTAACAATTATGTGACACATGCAAACCTCTAGAGGCAGAAACAGCCACCCCCACACCACTAGAGGTCGATGGGGTTTTGCTCCTCCAGGTTTATTTGATCTCATCTGGTAGAATCTATGCAACGTTCAATCCAACAGCATTGTGATAAATCAAATTTGCTGATCATATGTTTTGTATGTCAATCAATCAATCAAATTTTATATGCACAGCCCACAAATATGTCTCATATAGGACTTAACAAGGTGTGACATCCTCTGCCCTTCAGCCCCAGTAAGAGTGAGAAAACCTTTTTAACAGTGGGAAGAAACCTCAGACGTAAGAGATCCTTCTCCCAGGAAGGACAGAAGTGTAATAGATGTATACGTGAAACAGAATACATCAACAAAATAACAATATTCATGAGAAAAACTGTCTAAATATAATGGTGTATCGATGTTTAAAGTGTTTACATGAAAGAAAGTGTCTGACAGAGATGTACGTAGGCAATGTGAAATGTCAAACTGAAAAGCAACAATCAATGTGGTCTGAATAATTAAAAAATACCTGAAATTATGTCTCACGCAGAAACGTAGATAATTCCTAGGCTGTATGTAAAAACTGATAAACCCCAGTAACGTCCCCACAAACCTTCTTAAGTGAGCGTTTGTCCCTCAGGTTTAGATGCGGAGAGACAACAGTGTTTATGGTGTTTTATTGTTTTGTCACCTTTAATCACAGCATCAGCACCATGAGGTTAACTGGATGTGTTTTCACTGCGCTTCCACCGTTATGCTGCACAGGAATTGTTAGGCATCCCCCACATGGGATCATTTCAAAGGAAGTCAAACACTGAAATTCACCAGCTTCTTACTTACTTGTCTGCTGATGGGATCCCACTGGAGCCCTGCTCAACACCCCCGGGAGGCTCCAGACCTTGTTTTGAGAGCTGCTCGTTTCACCTGAAAGGCCGATATCAAACCAGCGTTTTCCAGTGCGTCTGGTAAAAACCTCACAGACGCTTCGTGTGTAAGGAGAATGCTTGCTGGGGAGTTGAGGGGAGGTTAAAATGAGCGATAGACAAAATAGATGAAGAGTAAGAGGAAGGAGCACTGATTGACACATGGAGAGGGGATAGGGATGGATGGCGGCCGCGTCAGCGCTGGTGCATCTCCCCAGCATCGCTGTCCAATTTTCAGCCGATCCACTCGCCAGCACAGAATTAATAAGCAGGATTGTGTGTGTGTGTGTGTGTGTGTGTACTTGTGTGAGATTGATTGTCAGTGGTGGATAGCAGTGCTGGTTTTACAGATTTATTTTTTTTATTTTTTGTATTATTTCACATTTTACTGGTTTAAATTCTCACACTGATCTCTATATAAAAGCATCTGAACTTGCATGTACACAAATACTAGACGCTGGAAGTCCTCTGACGTATAAATACTCACCAAAACATTATGGATCTGTCTTCTGAATCTGACTTAACAGGCTAGATGATGTGCCCGGGTTGAATCTGTATATTAGAAAACAGATACCTGCATGTACGTCCGAGCGTTTGTTTATGTCATTTCATGGTATCTCTTTTCATGTCACTGTAAGCGATCATTTGGGGTTTATATTGAAGCTGCACTGCCATCCCTGCATGTGCTCTAGACATCCAGCTAATGAAGAGCTTCACGTCTGTAGCAGCGGCAGAAGCAACACAAAAATCCTCTCACTCTTACAAATGCACACTCAGAGAGAATGCTCCCCTGATTGCAGATGACTGCCTCTGATTGCTGCCATTCAGATATAGCCGGGACAAAATCAGGATGCATAACATATTGATATAGATCAGCTAAGAACCTGACATTGAATAATATAGCAGAACTCAGAAGGGTGAGTGATTCAGTGATGGATGAAAGTACTGGTGATCTATAATAGAGGTGTTTGATGACGAGCACATTTGAAAATGAAATACCTGAGCGTTTCAAATCGCCCTTTGTAGAATATAAATTGTTTGCTTGCATTGAAACATGCAATTTTGTGACGGCTGTGTTCTTCCCCGTTTTGAAAGCAGTGTGTGTCCACTTACATCTGAAATGTGTTCTGCAAACTATGAGATAAACCAACCATTAAGCAGGTTTGATGTGTTTTCTTATCACCTCCGTCAAGGAGGTTATGTTTTCACCCCTATCCGTTTGTTTGTTGGTTTGTTGCCTGTGAGATTACGTAAAAACTACTGGACACTTTACCACAAAACCTGGTCGGGGCTGTGATGTGGTGCAAATCCGGATCAAGCGGCAGATCCAGGATTGTTTTTGTCACTTTCTCTAATACTGAGAGATACCGGTTTTTGATTTTTTTTACTGATTTCCCAGAGAAAAACTCATGGATCTTGAGGAAAACCAAATTTAGGGAACTGATAACGAGTGTGTACAATTTAGTGCTGCTTGATTCCATTTAAGGGGACTGTTGGGCCCTCATGAGTTTCATTTGGTTTCTTAGGCTGTGTGAGAAAACATTATCACTATAAACTATACTTTTAGAAGTCTGGGTCACCAGGAGCGACATATACAGGTTTTTTAGGACTGTAAGGGATAAGTAACTTTGATGAGAGAGCTGATGGGAGGTGGTGGGATGTATCGGTTGCATTTTTTCAAAATAATAGCCTGTTTTACAGGTTTACCAACCCTAGCTTTAAATTGTCATCTGATCACAATAACATTTTCTCTTGTAATTTGCCATTCCACAAACCCATTTATCGATTAAGGACATTTCAGCTCTACATAGTTAAACATTAAAATGAACGGAGCAATCCGCTGTCTGGATTGATGCTCACAGGGAACAAGCTCCTAAATAAAACATACTGTTCTGTATGAGAAGCACAGAAATCCATGGTGCTTCGTTGAGATTCCAGTTTCACCAGAATCAGAAATGACTCAGTGTCTGTCCAGTCAATCAAAAAGCAGCAAAGTAAATTTCTCACATTGTTTTGGCCTAAAGGAATCCACCCTTAATTCCAATTAGACTTCAGATTGCCCCCCCCCCCCTCATTAGATCCCTGACTGCAACACTTGGATAAAAAATATACTTGACTCACCGAGGTGAGCCCGGCGTGCAGAAGCCGAGTCTCCTCTGACACAGAGTTTGAGTGTTCGATTCCGGCGGCTCGGTGCAAAGAGCATCTGTTTGATTTGTTAATAGCACACTGTCTTCTCTCCGTCCTCCTGCCTATTTCATTACCCAGCTGCTCTGTGCAGGTAATGGCCTGTCATAGAGAGATAATAGGCTGTCATACAGCAGTAATAACCTGCAGCAACCGTCTGCAGGCTTTAGACTGATCGCAGTTACTGCACTTATAGTGGGTGGCAGCTTCAAATTAGAAACCCTTATATCATTTCTGGGAGAAAAATTATTGAGGGAACGTTCAAGCGGCAAAAATATTATTTTACCTTGGCCCCTTGTGATCATATTTCTTGTCGTAATTGTGATTTAGGATAAGATAGGTTTTGGATTTTCAGAAGCCCTGGATCCAAATACAGTGCTGCCATGTGCACAGCAGGAATTATGGCTCTGCACACTGGCCATGATGCAATAACTTTGTGACAACATAAAAAACAATGTCCTTGTCCTATTTTATTTCCCTTGCATGCTCCAGTTATATGTTCAATGGAACTGGACAGCTTAAGGTGAAACTGAAGGCCTTGGTCAATCATTATAAATACAGTAAAATATTCTGCAGACACTGAAAATCTGTATCATTAGAACATGTGATTATGGGCATTACGCTTTAGTTAGAGCAGAGGTGGAAAGTAAAGTTCAAGCAATACAATCAGGAGCTACAGGTCTGCAGGTCACTCAGAGCGACAAGCCAAAACAAAAGTAGTCCTTCCACGAGCCAGACCAGGTATGTCTGGTTTCTCCTGGTCTGTGTGTGGGTTGGTTCCTGAAGAAAATAACCTTAATCTCTACATTGCAGCTCAGAGAGTACACGTCAAACTCTGCATAAATATAGTTTCTCCTTGACTGTGCTTCTTAACTCAGCAGGGTTGAGATAATTGTTGGAGATATGTACTGCACACCTACATTTCCTGAAAGCTGGTGTGTGCTGTACAATTAGGTAACTTCTTTAAAGGTGTATTTATACACAAACACAGGTGAGACTCAAGACACGTAGCTTCTGGGGGCTGAAATTAGGGCTGGGCAATGAAACAATAACAACAATCATCACAATGTCGATGTTATCAACAGCAATGTAACAGGTAATTAATGTAATTAATTTCAATGAAAAGTCCAGTGTGTAAGATTTATGTGAAAAGGATCTGTTTATTTAATGTAGAATAATCCTCATGATGTTTTCACTAGTTCATCTAAATTGTATGAATTGTAGTTTTCTTTACCCCAGAAAAGGTCCTTTATATTTAAATACTTTATATTTACATGGAGGGGACCCTCTCTACTGAGGCTGCCATGTTTTTTACATTAGTCCAGACTGGACAAACTAAACACCTTTTGAGTTTTTATGACAACTGAAGGTTTTCACAGGTTCTTTTTTATGTTTGGAAGGAGAGGGTGAGGTGAGGGGTGTTCAGCTGCAACATGCAGCTTCAACACTAGATTTCACTAAACCCTACACACTGTACCTTTAAAGCATTAGAGCAGTGAAAAAAACATACTTTTACTTTGA